TCCTCTGTTTATCAGGTTTCAGAGATTTGTACATATGTATATGTTCTACATTACTGCTTATCTTTCTGGATTTTCTATATTCTTCCTGATTTTTTTCCTACTTGTTCTGTCTCAGATTGAGGGAGATATACTACAGGCTCCCCATTATTCCTGAGTTTCTACATCTCCTGCCATCTCCTGTTGTATCTGCTTGGGTGAAAATTTTGTCACATTTTTGGGTACATAACATTAATCACTATTTTATTTTTATCCCATATTGTAGCCTTTAGCATTATAAAGTGCCCTTTGTGCTGTTTTGGATATGCTCTTGTAAACAACATCATGTGAATTTTGCTTTGTTAGACAATTCTAAAATCCTTTTTGGGGCACCTGGGTGGCTCAGTCAGTTACATGTCTGCCTTTGGCTCAGGTCATGATCTTAGGGTCCTGGGATCGAGCCCTGGGTCAGGTTTTCCTGCTCAGCGGGAAATCTGTTTCTCCCTCTCCCTCTGCTTCTCCTCCTTGCTCGTGTGCACTCTCTCTCTAATAAATACAAAAAAATCTTAAAAAAAATAAAATCCTGGGGCGCCTGGGTGGCTCAGTTGGTTAAGCGACTGCCTTCGGCTCAGGTCATGATCCTGGGGTCCCGGGATCGAGTCCCGCATCGGGCTCCCTGCTCAGCAGGGAGTCTGCTTCTCCCTCTGACCCTCCTCCCTCTCATGCTCTCTGTCTCTCATTCTCTCTCTTGCAAATAAATAAATAAAATCTTTAAAAAAATAAATAAATAAAATAAAATAAAATCCCTTTCTTTTAGAGTGAATTAAACCTACATATTTATTAATATAATCCATATACTTGGCCTCAGTTCTGTCCTATGGGTACAGCTAGACATACAGCCACCCACTTACATGGTCTGCTTTATTTGCTTGCATTCCCTCTTTCTTTTGGTGCTTAGGAAACTTTATATTTTTGCTCTAAGTTTACCTTTAGAATAATACCTTTATATAATAACCAAATCCTCTCTTCTTTGGGATACTGCCTATCTGAACAATTATGAACAATATTGGAATTTGCTAGAAATCTTTTCTTTCTCCTTTCCTCCTGCTCCTTCAGCACCTAATGTGAAATAATAGCTTTTTTTTTTTTCTTCTAATCAACACCAATTGGGCAATCTGCAAGCTAGTCTCATTTCCATATGTTCTTCATCTTATCTCCCTACTTTTGGTAGTTACACAAATCGTTATAGCTTTTGGTAGTTACACAAATCATTATAGTTTTTGATAGTTATACATTTTTTATAGTTATATTGTTCCTACAATGCAGAGCAGATAAGCATTGTACAATGACCACCTCCTTTATTTCGATCATTTAGTCATGGTACTAGAGATAAAGATATAATCAATTCCCCTTGAATATGGAAGTCAAAACTCAATTTCCTGGATTAACTTACAGCCTGGGACACAAGCAAGTGACTAAGTCCCGCCAATCAGAACTTTGATCCAGAAGTGAGGAATGTTAGGAAGCCACTGTGCATGGTGGAAAAGCTAGTAGCCCAGGCATCCAGCTTGCACAGGCAATGATGAAAGAGAAGTTTCCCAATGATTTGAAGGTCATGTTCCTGAGCCGAAGTGACATATTGTTGGTAGCAGTAGTAGCTGCAATAACATATAATTTCTGGTGTTTGTACTTTGTAGACATGACATAAGTGGTAGAAGTTTTCTAACAGGCCAATTCTCCAACTTGGTTTTTGAACCCTAGGGTTGAGATTATTTCTCTAGCCTCCAGCCTAACATTATTGTGAACTTCCTAAAATCCTTTCCTGTATTCCCCGCCTCTGCTTAAATTAATCAGAGCAGATACTGTTGATTGCATCCAATGTCCTGACTTGAATCATACCTGGAGGGTCACACATCTCCTACTATTGTTGTAGAGACAAATGATAGAAGCTATGCTAACACACTGAACACACACACAATAGTGCGCAGCAAGGATTAGTTTCCCTCTGGGTACCTGAGAAGGCAAATAGTACACAGGCAGCCATGGTAGATCATGTTGAAGTTTCTGAAATAGATCTGCATTTATTAAAGATATATTTGAGCACTGGACATGGAATGTCCAAGCCTCAAATGCTTCTTGGAATCTTTTTAGTCTATTAAACTCAAGAGCAAAGGTAACAAGCTTTACATGCATGATGGGCTATATAAGTCATGGGGCCCACTGCAAAATGAAAATGCAGGGTCCTTTAAAAAAAAACTATAATGGGGGGCGCCTGGGTGGCTCAGTTGGTTAAGCGTCTGACTCTTGATTTTGGCTCCAGTAATGATCTTGGGGTCGTGAGATCGAGTCCTGCATGGGGCTCTGAGCTGGGCATGGAGCCTGCTTGAGATTCCCTCTCTCCCTCTCCTTCTGCCCCCACCCCCTGCTTACACAGGCATGCGCATGTACATGCATGCATACTCTCTCTCTCTCAAAAAAACAAATATATATATACTCTCTTTCTCAAAAAAACAAATATATTTTATATA